GGCCGTTTTTCACCGTTTCCGAATTATCCCGGCAAAGCAACCTAACAGCGATGTGTAGGATCATATCTGGAAGCATTCCCCTTAATATTCAGATGAGAATCCAGTTGTAGAATTCTGCTGTTCTCGCAGTCGTAGTCGCATTCGCGATGACAGTCGCAGTGGCAACGGCAGTGCAGCAAGCCTCAGCCTCAGCCTCAGCCTCAGCCTGCCTCAGCCTCAGCCTGCCACAGCCTCCGCCTGCCTCAGCCTCAGCCTCAGCCTGCTTCAGCCTCAGCCTCAGTCTGCCTTCAGCCTCAGCCTGCCTCAGCCTCAGCCTGCCTCAGCCTCAGCCTCAGCCTCAGCCTCAGCCTCAGCCTCAGCCTCAGCCTGCTTCAGCCTCAGCCTCAGTCTGCCTTCAGCCTCGGCCTCAGCCTCAGCCTGCCTCAGCCTCAGCCTGCATCAGCCTCAGCCTCAGCCTCAGCCTGCCTCAGCATCAGCCTGCCTCAGCCTCAGCCTCAGCCTGCCTCAGCCTCAGCCTCAGCCTGCTTCAGCCTCAGCCTCAGTCTGCCTTCAGCCTCGGCCTCAGCCTCAGCCTCAGCCTCAGCCTGCAGCCTCAGCCTCAGCCTGCCTCAGCCTCAGCCTCAGCCTCAGCCTCAGCCTGCCTCAGCCTGCATCAGCCTCAGCCTCAGCCTCAGCCTGCCTCAGCCTCAGCCTCAGCCTCAGCCTCAGCCTGCTTCAGCCTCAGCCTCAGTCTGCCTTCAGCCTCGGCCTCAGCCTCAGCCTGCCTCAGCCTCAGCCTGCATCAGCCTCAGCCTCAGCCTCAGCCTGCCTCAGCATCAGCCTGCCTCAGCCTCAGCCTCAGCCTGCCTCAGCCTCAGCCTCAGCCTGCTTCAGCCTCAGCCTCAGTCTGCCTTCAGCCTCGGCCTCAGCCTCAGCCTGCCTCAGCCTCAGCCTGCATCAGCCTCAGCCTCAGCCTCAGCCTGCCTCAGCATCAGCCTGCCTCAGCCTCAGCCTCAGCCTGCCTCAGCCTCAGCCTCAGCCTGCTTCAGCCTCAGCCTCAGTCTGCCTTCAGCCTCGGCCTCAGCCTCAGCCTGCCTCAGCCTCAGCCTGCATGCCTCAGCCTCAGCCTCAGCCTGCCTCAGCCTCAGCCTGCCTCAGCCTCAGCCTGCCTCAGCCTCAGCCTCAGCCTGCTTCAGCCTCAGCCTCAGCCTGCCTTCAGCCTCAGCCTCAGCCTCAGCCTCAGCCTCAGCCTCAGCCTCAGCCTGCATCAGCCTCAGCCTCAGCCTCAGCCTGCCTCAGCATCAGCCTCAGCCTGCCTCAGCCTCAGCCTCAGCCTGCCTCAGCCTCAGCCTCAGCCTGCTTCAGCCTCAGCCTCAGTCTGCCTTCAGCCTCGGCCTGAGCCTCAGCCTGCCTCAGCCTCAGCCTGCATCAGCCTCAGCCTCAGCCTCAGCCTGCCTCAGCCTCAGCCTGCCTCAGCCTCAGCCTCAGCCTGCCTCAGCCGCAGCCTCAGCCTGCTTCAGCCTCAGCCTTAGTCTGCCTTCAGCCTCGGCCTCAGCCTCAGCCTGCCTCAGCCTCAGCCTGCCTCAGCCTCAGCCTCAGCCTGCCTCAGAATTCAAAATGTGGCCCGGGAATGGAGCTCTGGGAACTCGAAGAACACGAAGTGGCCTACAATTGGCTCCGGGCATTCAAAATCATTCCCAGGAATGAACTTCTGGGCACTCGAAGACCACGAAGTGGCCTACAGTTGGCTCCGGGCATTCAAAATCATGCCCAGGAATGGACTTCTGGGAACTCGAAGAGCACGAAGTGGCCTACAGTTGGCTCCGGGCATTCAAAGTGTGGCCCGGGAGTGGAGTTCTGGGAACTCGAAGAGCACGAAGTGGCCTACAGTTGGCTCCGGGCATCCAGAATGTGGCCCGGGAATGGAGTTCTGGGACCTCGAAGACCACGAAGTGTGTAACTGTTTGCTTAAAACGACTTCCGCGGATTCTCCCCGGCACCCGTCCGGCATCTGCCCAGACACCCCTGGGGAGTCAAGATGCTTTCTTTTGAGACCATTAGAAACCTATCAGTCTTCGCTGTTAGGTAACTTATCCCAGCAAAGCAACCTAACAGCGATGTGTAGGAGCATATCTGGAAGCATTCGCCTTAAGATTCAGATGAGAATCCAGTTGTAGAATTCTGCTGTTCTCGCAGTCGCAGTCGCATTCGCGATGACGGTCGCAGCGGCAACGGCAGTCGCAGTCACAGCCTCAGCCTCAACCTGCCTCAGCCTCAGCCTGCCTCAGCCTCGGCCTCAGCCTCAGCCTCAGCCTCAGCCTGCTTCAGCCTCAGCCTCAGTCTGCCTTCAGCCTCGGCCTCAGCCTCAGCCTGCCTCAGCCTCAGCCTGCATCAGCCTCAGCCTCAGCCTCAGCCTGCCTCAGCATCAGCCTGCCTCAGCCTCAGCCTCAGCCTGCCTCAGCCTCAGCCTCAGCCTGCTTCAGCCTCAGCCTCAGTCTGCCTTCAGCCTCGGCCTCAGCCTCAGCCTGCCTCAGCCTCAGCCTGCCTCAGCCTCAGCCTCAGCCTGCCTCAGCATTCAAAATGTGGCCTGGGAACGGAGTTCTGGGAACTCGAAAAACACGAAGTGGCCTGCAGTTGGCTCCGGGCATTCAAAATCATGCCCAGGAATGGAGTTCTGGGAACTCAAAGAACACGAAGTGGCCTGCAGTTGGGTCTGGGCATTCATAATCATGCCCAGGAATGGACTTCTGGGAACAAACCACGAAGTGGCCTACAGTTGGCTCCGGGCATTCAAAATCATGCCCAGGAATGAACTTCTGGGAACTCGAAGACCACGAAGAGGCCTACAGTTGGCTCCGGGCATTCAAAATGTGGCCCGGGAATGGAGTTTTGGGAACTCGAAGAGCACGAAGTGGCCTACAGTTGGCTCCAGGCATTCAAAATGTGGCCCGGGAATGGAGTTCTGGGAACTCGAAGACCACGAAGTGTGTAACTGTTTGCTTAAAACGACTTCCGCGGATTCTCCCCGGCACCCGTCCGGCATCTGCCCAGACCCCCCTGAGGAGTCAAGATGCTTTCTTTCGAGACCATTAGAAACCTATCAGTCTTCGCTGTTAGGTAAAAATGCCTCCTTGAAAATGGAAACGGCAAAAAAACGGCGACCGGAAACGGCAAAAAAACGGCTCCAGGATGGGAACCGGAGCCGGAACCGGTCAAAAAACGGCGACGGAACCGGTAAAGAAACGGCGTCGAAACCGGCAAAAAAACGGCTAAACGGAACCTGTAAAAAAACGGCCCTGTCGTTTCCAGGGCCCACTAAGCTCCAGTCCCCCCCGTAGGACTCTTCTGCACTAGGGAACAACATGCCCCCTAGACTTGGGAGGGCCAGCTTCTCCCCGCTTGGGCCCCAGATGCAGGCCAGTATCCGAGGTCACCTGACAGCACTCATCGCGCCCTGCGATACGCGACGCGCGGTGATCTTCGCGCCTTCGCGCCGACCGGCTGGTGAAGAGCAGGTCTGCGGCCCGGCCCGCGCGAAAAATCTGCAATTCCGCGGGAAAGCACGACCAGAGTCCTAGACCCTATCCTTCTCCTCCTCTACCTCCTCTTCCTTCTCCTCCTGCTCCTGCTCCTGATCCTGCTCTTGCTACTGCTCCTCCTCCTCCTCCTCCTGCTCCTCCTCCTCCTCCTGCTCCTCCTCCTCCTACTCCTACTCCTTATTCTCCTCCTCCTGCTCCTCCTCCTCCTCCTGCTCCTCCTCCTCCTCCCTCTCACCATCATGCCCCATTCCTCTTCCTTACAGATGTCCACCCCGTCGCATCCCGAAACCAATCGAAAGGGCGGGCTGGGCGTTCTGCCTGAGACGTCGTCTCCATGTATGATCAGACAAGAGCTTCACATATGGAGGGCGGGTGGTTTGCAAAATGTGGCTCTCGCCTTTGCGCCGCGCACATTCGTTTGCCGACATGTGCAAGAGGTTCACGTATTGAGGGCGGGCGGTTTTCAAAATGTCGCTCTCGCCTTAGCCCTTCGCACCGCGAACATTCGTTTTCAAAACTTGCAAGCGCTCCGCAGATTGAGGGCGGATCGTTTTCAAAAATTGGCTCTCACCTCTGCGCCGCGCACACCCGTTCTAAACAATTGCAAGAGGCTCACGAAAATAGGGCGGGTCGTTGTCAAAATGTGGCTCTCGCCTTTGCGCCGCGCACATGCGCTTCAAACAATTGCAGGAGCTTTACCGATTGAGGGCGGGTGGTTGTCAAAACGTGGCTCTCTCCTTTGCGCCGCGCGCATTCGTTTCAAATACACGCCAGAGTTTCACGGATTGAACGCGTTTCCTTTCAAAAGTGTGGCTTTCGCCGTTGCGCCACGCACATTCGTTCCAAGCATTTGCAAGCGTTCACCTGACCTTCATGGTTAACGCGCAAGAGATGGCATTCTGGAACAATTCAGGATTGTCAGGGCGCAGCAGTTATGTGGATGCGCGGCGCTGATGTCTCAGGAATGGTTTTCTGGCACGATCGAAGATCGCCGAGACGTGACAGTCAGGTTACCTCGTGGTGTTCATGCACGCTTCAAGATGTTCATTGGATGTCCCCCACGTGGCACGTCCCTCAACGGAAATGACCACTTTGTATGGGTCCCAAGGAGAGGGATCTTGGAGGGAAGGTGTATTTCAACATTGTTCGTGATTCTTGGGTTTACACTGGTCCTCCTCCTCCTCCTCCTTCTCCTCCTCCTCCTCTGTTCCCCCGCGCCCCTTCGCGCAAGGGAGCGCGACGACGACGGTGACAACGACAGCGGCGACGACGACGACGACGACGACGACGACGGCGGCGGCGATTGTCGTCTTTTCGTCGTCGTCGTCGTCGTCTTTGTTGTCGTCGCCGTCGTCTTCGCCGTCGTCGCCGAGGCCCCCCCCCTGCAGGCCAGCGGTCCCAGACCGATCGATCCCGCCAGCCCGGTGGCGGCAGCGCGAGGGCGGCGGACTGGGCGAGCCCGCCTGCTGCGCCGCTGCAGGCCGAGCTGCGCGGCGATGTCCACCCCGAGGCGCCGCGGCGAGCCGCGCAGGATCTCGGCGTAGGGCGGGTCCACGTCCGCGCCGGACCGCCAAGGCGTCCACCTGGGGAAGGAGGAGGAGGCGGAGGAGGCGGAGGAGGAGGAGGCAGAGAAAGAGGAGGAGGAAGAGGGGGGACCGCAGATGGACTACTTGTCAATATGGACCCCAGGAGGGGGCCCTGGGGCGGAAAACTTGCCAGGATGGACCCCCGGAAGGGATAGCACATCGACTTGGAAGGGACTCTGAAGGTCCTGGCCAAGTCCATCCTGGGCCCACGTCCGCGCTGACCGCCAAGGCGTCCACCTCAGAATGGAAGGATGAAGAGGAGGGGACAGGCTCTCTCGGCAGGAGCGGCGCAGCGCGCCCCAGACCGTCGACGCTGTCGTCGTCGCCGCCGACGCCGCCGCCGCCGTCGTCGTCGTCGCCGCCGTTGTCGTCGTCGTCGTCGTCGTCGCCGTCGTCGCCGCCGCCGCCGCTGCCGTCGTCGTCGTCGTCGCCGCCGCCGCCGCTGCCGTCGTCGTCGTCGTCGTCGTCGTCGTCCTGGTCCAGGTCCACGTCCGCGCCGGGCCGCCAAGGTCCTGGCCAGGTCTATCCCGGGCCCACGATCGGCGCGTGCGCACTCCTGGCGTGGCCAGGGCAGGCGCATGCGCCGATCCTGGGCACAGGATGGGCCTGGCCAGGATCGGTGCGAGCGCGCAGCTGGCGCCCTCCGAGGAGGAGGGAGGAGGAGGAGGAGAAGGAGGAGGAGGAGGAAGAGGAGGAGGAGGAGGAGGGGAAGGAAGAGCAGGAGGAGTCCGAGTTCGCGGGCCTCGGAGGTCGAGGGTCGGGCGCCCGCCCAGCCACCTCTTCAGGGGAGGGGCGCGACCTTGCCGAAGGGCCTCACGAGCTCGAGTTTCGCCTCGAACTCCCTGCCACCAAGGCCACGAGCTGCTTGAAGCTCATCGCCTCGGCTGGCGTGCTCGGGCCAGACCGCCCGCGTTCGCCCCCTCGAACTGCTTGGCGTCCAACTCCGTGTCCAGCTCCTCGTGGAACTGCGGGTACTCCGTCTAGCCGCGCTCCTCCATGCTGCTGTCCACCGCGTGCAGCTCGGGTATCCACTGGGGGTCTCAGAAACCCAGCATCCACCTCACTGCTGGTTCTGACCCTAATAGCAAACCGCTTTCATCGTTGGGAGAAGGCCTGGGGCGGCTCGGCCTTCGCTTCGCGCCAACTGGACCTCCCTCTCCGCCGCTCCCAAGCTGTCGGGGGCCATGGTCGCCAGACTGCTCATGAAGGTACGCCTGCTCTCTGCATCGTGCATCTCCTTCTTGCTGCACCCGCGGTGGCGGTGGTGGTGGTGGTGTGGGGGGGGGGGGGGGGGGAGGCCGAATCCCCTTCGCCCCCCCGCGCCCTCCTGCCCACTCGGCTGGAGGCGCGCCTCGCCGAGGTAGGCGTTCACGTTGGACCCCCTGCCGGAGAAAGCGGATCTGGCAGCGGGGGAAGGCGCGTCATCAAGGGCAGCATCCACCAGCCCACCCTCCTCTGCCAGCATCGCCCTGTGTCAGAGCAGCTCCCCGGCGACGGAGTCGCTGTCTGAGACGGTGACCTGGTGAGCCAACTCCTCCACGGCTACAGCGTCGACCGCGTCGGTCGCGATGGCGATGCCGCGGGGGGGGGGGGGGGCGCTATCTGCGACTGCGCGCCTGGTCGCCGCGAGGCTCCGTGGCCAGGCGAATCAGGCCGCCACTCATCGCATTTCTGAACATGGTATCATGCTCCTCCTTGGCTTAATTACGTCGCGTCTCTTTATCCCGGACGCGTTGACGTAGTGCTGCCATCCTTTGCTCGTAGATGATGGAGCTCTCTATCCTGGAGTTGCTGCTCTTGCTGCTGTCGACCTTGGCGCGCGTCGCGCTAGCCTCTGCGCTAGCGCGAAGCCTGCGTCGATGAACCACCCGAGCTTCTCGCGGGGCCCGATGCCTTTCTGAAAGCGACTCAGAACCTCCAAGCCCTTTTGAGGTGGCTGCCGCGAATTGTAGGCGCAGCTTTGACCGTCGGCGTTGCTGCGCCCAGTCCACGCGCCTCACGCGCATGAAGACTGACTTGGCGATATGATTGGTGCCTCGGGCCCCATAGCTGCTTGACGGCGACCAGCCTGTGCTCTTGCGGGTTCTGCGCGTGCTCTTCAGGAACGCCGGGGGCCTCCGCAGGCAGCGAATGGGAGTTGCGCTCCAGGGGCGCGTAGTCGTAGGCAGGTCTCGCATTGCGCACCGAGCTCACCATCCTTCCAAAAATGCCATGTCTCCTTCCTGGTGCGCGCCGCTCGACGGCGCGCAACTGGCCGCCGCGCCCACCTTGTCTTGCCGTCGTTGTCGAATATTGGGAGCACGTCGGCCACGAGATGCGCAATCTTGCCGATTCTTGAGACGGCCTCGTCCATCTCCTCCGCGACCTGCCCAGCGGGCGCCGCGTGCATGGCGGCGGCGAGCATGGCCCGCGCGTCTGCCGCGACGCGGGCGTCCGTCAGCCTGCGCTGGCTGGCAGATAACGCTCCAGATTCAGCCCCTGACCTGTGCGCCTTGACACGACGGCACTGCTGGACGCGCCTGAAGCCGCCCATGGACCGCGCGAAGTGCGCGACGCATGCGTAGAGGGTCTTTCTCTTTAGCCGATGATCCTTGGCCGCGTTGCCAAGCTTGATGACTCCAGTGAAGTCCGCGTATATCTGGCAAGGGCGGTCGGCGATCTGCGCGGCGAAGGCCGCGCCCAAGTGCCCGCCCATGGCCGGCGAGTGCGGCGGCGAAGCGGGAACAGGAGCACGCATGGACCACAGAGGCATGCTGGATCGCGGGCCCGGGGTCACGACGCTCCACCCAGCACGCTGAAACTCACGGGTTGGTGGCTTGGCGCAGGGCCCATCGATGGCAGCCTCCACGCGCCCATCCTCAGCTGCAAGGACATCCCGGGCCACCTGCTCGCGAGCGGCATCCTTGACGATAGCGCGCGCGCCGAGGATCTCACATCTGACTCCGAAGTCCACGGGGGCGGAGGCTGAGGTGGGATAGGCGAAAGCCCCTTGCATTAACCCTGGCTCATCCCCAATTCCGCATCTGGAAGACCATCGACCTCCACGCCATAAGAAGATGCTGGTCGGGCTCCTGTGCGGTACCAGTCCTGTGAATCAGTTGCCCACGGAGTCGTCGTCGGTAGCGCCCCAGCTTCTTCAGACGTAATCGGTAAGGTTCGCAGTCTGTCTTGGTGTTTCCTCCTCGTGTGTTTGGCCATCCGTCGTCGTCCACCTGCATAGTCCGTACCCAGGTAGGTCGCGCTCCTTTGGTCCATGGTGAGCTCTAGGACACAGCTGTTTGACGACTTCCTTGCTGATGCTGACCGAGCTGGCAACGACCACCAGCTTCTCCTTGAGTCGAGTTCCCAAATGCTTGGCGGTGGCAAAAGAAGTCTTTCCCAACACGCACTGCCTTGCCGTTGACGCCAAGCGCCTTAACATCACCAGTGTCGTCAATGTAGGGCGAAAGCCTTACCAGGGGATGGATATTGACATACTGATCGTACTGAGCCAGAGCATGCGCCTTGATGGCCAAGTCGGCATGGCCATCCACAGCAGGAAACCCATCATGCGCGCGCCGTGGTTGCAGGAAGAGCAGGAAGAGGAGGAGGAGGAGGAGGAGGAGGAGGAGGAGAAGGAGGAGGAGAAGGAGGAGGAGGGGGAGGGAAGAGTGAGGAAAAGGAAGAGGAGGAGGGGGAGGAGGAGGAGGAGGAGGAGGGAAACCAGGAGGCGGAAGAGAAGGAGTAGGATTATAGTGTAGCGCTGATCCTCTCGAAGGTAAGCTAAAAACTGTGGGATGCCAGGCGGGGCTCGCAGGCCAAGCAATCCTTGGAAACTGGTGCAGCTGAAGGTTGGGAAGTCCCACCTTCGGATGGTTTTGGCACACGTGCCATCTTTCGCACCTGAAAGTGGCACGAGGAGCAGGAGGACACGGAGGAGGACGAAGAGGCGCCCACATCTGTTCAGGTCTTGCATCCGGCCATCGGGAAACGAGGATGGGAAGATTTTTGCGGGGCGTGCCTTGCTGTTGGCTTTTAGGGCGTCTTCGGCCTTTCGTCGGGGATCCAGCGGCTGACATAACCCTCCTAGAGCCTCCAGAGGTCTGGCTCCTGGGCGGAAGCACAACTGACTATCCGCCGCTGTTCTATATCCTCTTGCTCAACCTCGTTCTCCTCCTCATCTTCCTCTTCCCTGTGGGGATCCGGACCATCCTCATCCCCCATGTATTCCTTGTCCTCCTCCTCCTTGCCCCCCTCCTCCCACTCCTGATCCTCCTCCTACTCCTCCTTCTCCTCCTCCTCGTTATAATTAGTCATGTTCCTCCTCTTCCTCCTCCTCCTCCTCCTCCTTGCCCTCCTTCTCCTGCTCTTCTGTGTCGTCCTTCTGCTCTCCCCTCGTTGTCCTGCACCCTCTCATGTCCACCCCCCTCTCGTCACCGCCCCCGGCCCCAGGACCCCCGGGACCCCCGGTCCTGACCCGATTACACAAAACACGGATCATACAGCGCGAAGCATGCCGTCACCTGAGCAGCTGGACTGGAAGGTGCCCGCCAGGGCGCCTATATACTACAAGGTGCTGAACTGCGCGCATCGCGCCTGCGCAAGCGACGTTCACACAGCACGAGCATGTCTCGCTCCGGCCGAAGCCAGGCAGGAGGGTGGGAGTGAGGAGCAGGAGGAGGAGGAGGGGAGGAGGAGGAGGAGGAGGAGGAGGAGGAGGAGGAGGAGGAGGAGGAGGACGAGGAGGAAGAGGAGGAGGAGTGAGGGGGAAAGGCGGGGCCTGGCACCCAGGCCCCTGTCTCGCAGCGACACAACATCACGACAGCAGGCAGTGTTGCTGCGTTCTGCAGCCAAGGGGCCCGACCCAGCCGCGAAACCGTCAGAGAGACCTCGGGGCAAAAGGCCGGCTCCATGGGAGGTGATCCGGGCATCTGCGGGCCCACGCTGGACCCCCCCAACAAAAAAACGTAACAAAAACTCAACACCAGAAAAAACACCGGGGCACGGCGCAGGCTTGCCGCGACGCGGACCTCGCCTTCATCCCAAGTGTGGTGGAGGCGCACGGCGGGAGCTGGGGCGGCGAGGCGCGACGCGCCTTCGCCGTGCTGGCTAAGCGCGCGGCCGACGCGCGCGGCGAGGAGGCCGCCAGCACGGCGGACAGGATGGCCCAGCGACTCTCCATCTCCCTGCACAGGGAGAACGCGCGGGCCATTTAGCAGCGCCTGCAGCGCCCGCGGCCCGGGGCGACCCCGGCCCGCCTGGCGGCGGCGGCGGCAGTGGGGGCGGCGGCGGCGGCGGCGGCGGCGGTCGCGTGAAGCGCAAGGACAGGCGGCGGGCGCCGAGGACGACGAGGCGAGGGAGGGCGACCAAGAGGAGGAGAGGGGACAGGGGGAGGAGGAGCACCAGGAGAACAACGACGACGCCATGCGGAGGCAGCAGAGAGGCGCTGAGGAAGCCCCGCGGAGGGCGGCGACCAGGAGGAGGAGGAGGAGGAGGAGGAGGAGGAGGAGGAGGAGGAGGAGAGGAGGAGAGCGGCGACGAGGCCACGAGGAGGCAGCAGGGAGGCTAAGGAAGCCCAAAGGAGGCTGCCAGGACGGCGGCCAGGAGGCAACGCAAGACGAGCGTCGAGGAGGAGGAGGAGGAGGAGGAGGAGAAGGAGGAGGAGGAGGAGGAGGAGGAAGAGGAGGGAGGACGAGGACGAGCCGGCAGCCGGCGGCAGCAGGGCAGGAGGAGACCGCAGAGGACCCATGCCCGTCCAGCCAGGAAGGAGGAGCCCGCCGAGGAGGAGGAGGAGGAGGAGGCGCCGCGCCAGAAGCCGCCGCAGAGGGAGAAGGCCCCGGAGCCGGCCGCAGAGGAGGAGGACGACGACGACGGCTTCGCCGTGGCCCTGCTCGCGGCAGAGCAGGACCGGAAGAGGACCGAGTACCGCGCGCTGGGCGGGCAGACCAACAGCGAGCCAGGCAGCAAGAAGCGGCTGCCGTACCTCTGATGCGGTCGGCGCAGGGGTTTGCAAAAGCTCAGCCAACAAAAAAACACGTAACAGCCTCAAAACTCTGACGTATGGGGTAGGAGGCCACTCGAGGCTTCGAGCTCTCTGCAGGTAGCGTGCGGGCCGGGAGCCGCAGCGCAGCGCGTGCTCGCCAGCCTGCGCGAGCGCCGCGCGGGCCCGCCTCGCGGGCCCCCCCTGGAGGGGGAGGAGGAGGAGGAGGAGGAGGAGGAGGAGGAGGAGGAGGAGGAGGAGGGAGGAGGAGGAGGAGGAGGAGGACGAGGAGGAGGGGAGGAGGATGGGGGGAGGAGGAGGAGGAGGAGGAGGAGGAGGAGGAGGAGGAGGAGGAGGAGGAGGAGGAGGAGGAGGAGGAGGAGGAGAGGAGGAGGAGAGGAGGAGGAGGAGGAGGAGGAGGAGGAAGGAGGAGGAGGAGGAGGAGGAGGAGGAGGAGGAGGAGGAGGAGATGAGGAGGAGGAGGAGGAGGAGGAGCAAGAGCAGGAGCAGGAGCAAGAGGAGCAGGAGGAGGATGAGGAGGAGGGGAGAGAAAACACGAGAGAAAGAGGAGGATGAGCAGGAGAGGGAGGACGATGACAAAGACGACAACGACGACGACGACGACGACGACGACGACGAGGACGCCTGCTCACCAAGCACGGCGTGTTCTTGGCCTTGTGATTGACAGTGTCGATGCCCGTGAGGGCGATGTAGTCCTCAAGCTTTCGCCTGCGGGGCTCGGAGGAGCTGCGCGGCGACGCTTGCCCACACCAACTCCGCACCGCCTGCCCCCTTTGCGGAGCAAATTTTCACGCACGTCGTAGGAGGCAACCACTGGCAGGTGACAGTTAGTGTCAACCCGTATCACATGAATGCGCGGTAAGAATGCAGCCTTGGACGGCCATCTCGAAGCTTTTCGAACGGGGTGCAGCCAGCGAAAGCGGCCAAGGATGGACCGAGGAGGCAAGGATGCAAGGGTACCCTTGAGAAGGTTGCCCATCCTTACTCTGCGGGTTGACTGTGAGCCCCATTCGGGAGCTGCTACGTCGGATTGGGCCGCGGACTACGCGGGATTAGGCGGGATCTGAAAGGACTAAGCGGGATGACGGGAGCGAGCCGGATTGAGCCAGTCGGACCAGGGCAGAAGAGCCAGAATTTGACCTCCCAACAGGAATCGCATCCGAACGTGTCCTCTGCTGGGGGGGGGGCGCCGACCTCCAAGAAACCCGGGCGGCTGTGGATGTGGACGCACCTGAACCCCGGAGGGCCCGAAGTCAGTGCCCACCGCCCTCCAGAAGTCCCGGAAGATCGGCCCCCCGGGCGGTGCGAGAAAGAATGCAGAAGGAAAAGCACGGGTCACCGAAAAACCTGTCACTTCTCTGGCACCACACCGGTCAGGTGAGCGGCCCGATCTCCGAACCAATTTTGTCAGCGTAGCGCCCTTCTTCGTGCTGCTAAAAACAAAAACACAATGAACAGAAAGAGCTATTATTCCAAAATCAGCAGTAAGACGTGTTGCCACAGGTTACATGTTTACTCGTTTCATGCAAATACGGGTCGGCGCAGCAATGCTGGATATAGATTCCAAAGCCCACTCGGCAGAAATAATCTCAGCCTAAAAAGCCGAAAAATCCCGCTGAAGAAATATGCCCTTGTATCCGGCCACTCGGGACCTGAAATGGTCGCCGTGTGGAACCACCAGGACAAGTACAGAAGAAGCAACTCCGCATGTACCATCGGAACCACCGTCAGAATACACTTGAATGGAAGATCCGGCCACAAGTTCAGATATGATGCGGTCCAGGTTCACGTCTTCCCGGCAACATCTGTCCCCCAATATCCAGTTGCAGACCAGGTCCGCGGCTCTGTTGCACTCCCAAGGCCTCCAATCGTGCGCGCGCAAATACCAGGCTTTCTGCATGAAGGTGCTGGCGCAATAAAGCCCATGGATACGGTCACACACGCGGTGCGTCACACCATCATAAAACATCGCTCGTGATCTTCGCTTCCATGTCAGCTAGATGTGCAACTGCTTCTTTTTCCACAACAAACTCTAATTGAGACCGACCCTGGCTTTTGCACCACAAACCATCCCGTTGAAGTCTAGTCGGCAATTCCAGGTCGGGCAGCAGATCTGCATCCATTTTCTGCGGTGGCCGCTCCTCGCGCTGCTCCTGGCGCTGTCGGAGAAAATGCGCGAGCAGTCCCAGCGTCGCACACGCCTCTCGCAGACGCCTTCCATTCATCAGAAGTCGAGCAATTGTCCATTCGATGTCTACAGTGCACATCCCAAACCTTGATGAAGACGTTGGAAAGGTAACTTGAGGGCCAGGCCTGACTGGAAAGAATTGTCATCCAAAGAACGGTTTTCCCAAATCCTGTGTTGTTGGGTCCTCGTTTTCAAGACCGCGCCCCGCGTTCTCCTCCCGCCTCCTTCCTCCCTCCTCCCTGCGTTTCACCCACCCAGTACAGCGCTTCGAGGCCACATAGGAAGCTCCACCGAAGCCTCCAGTGGGACCCTCCGCATGCGTCCTGAAAACCATATTGGCATTTTCACCCATCCGAAACAACGCTTCGTGGCCACATGGGGAGATCAACCGAAGCCCCCAGTGCCACCGTCCGCATGAGTCCCACACACCCAATTCGGCATTTTTCACCCACCCAATACAACGCTTCGTGGCCCCATAGGAAGCTCCACCGAAGCCTCCAGTGGGACTGCCCGCATGCGCACCGAAAACCCAATTTGGCATGTTCACCCACCCACTACAACGCTTCGTGGCCCCATAGAGAGCTCCACCGAAGCCCCCAGTGCCACCGCCCGCATGCGTCCCACACATCCAGTTTGGCACTCTCACCCACCCAGTACAACGCTTCGTGGCACAAGAGGGAGCTCCAACCAAGGCCCCTAGTGCCACCGTCCGCATGCTTCCCGAAAACCCGATATGGCATTTTCACCCACCCAGTACAACGCTTCGTGGCCCCATAGGGAGCTCCACCGAAGCCCACAGTGGGACCGCCCACATGCGTCCCATACACCTGGTTTGGCAATTTCACCCCACCCAGCGCAGCGTTTCGTGACCCTATAGGGAGCTCCACAAAAGCCCACAGTGGGACCGTCCGCGTGCGTCTTGAAAACCCAATATGGTATTTTCACCCACCCAGTATAGCGCTTCGTGGCCACATAGAGAGCTCCACCGAAGACCCAGTGCCACCGTCCGCATGCGTCCCACACACCCAATGTTGCATGTTTCACCCACCCCGTACAACGCTTCGTGGCCCCATAGGGAGCTCCACCGAAGCCTCCAGTGGGACTGCCCGCATGCGTCCCGCACACCTAGTTTGGCAATTTTCACCCACCCAGTGCAACGTTTCGTGGCCCTATAGGGAGCTCCACCGAAGCCCCCAGTGGGACCGTCCGCATGCGTCCTGAAAAAACAATCTGACATTTTCACCCACCCAGCATTGCGCTTCGTGGCCCCATAGAGAGCTCCACCGAAGCCCCCAGTGGGACCGCCCGCATGCGCCCCACACACCCAATTTTGCATTTTCACAGACCCAGTATAGCGTTTCGTGGCCCCATAAGCCATAGGGAGCTCCACCGACGGCCCTAGTGGTACCGCCCGCATGCGTCCCCCCCACCCAGTGCAGTGCTTCGTGGCCTCACAGGGAGCTCCACCGAAGAAGATATTCACAATTGCGGTACCCACAATGGTTGGGGCCTTCACCAAGATGATTTTGCAAAATGCTCCGTTGATTACTTGCCATTCATCCTCATCCCGGTCCGTGCGAATATCGAGAAGAAGAGTTGCCGTTATGCCAAATTTGGGTGTGGAGCCTCTCCAATATGCAAGTGTGGGCTTGACATTGCAATACACAGTCCAACTCTCCAATTTGCGGCACGTCCGAACCAAGAAAACGTCACAAGGTTTGCGCTGGAAGCGAAAGGCGATTCTGAGCAACTTGAGCAGGGACCGACCGTCCCGGCATTCCTATAGTCCTACCACGAAATGTTCTTAGAACCCCCAAAAAGGTCTAAGAACACAAACGATGTTCTTGGAACACAAACCCGATGTGATAAAACAAGACAGTCTCAACAGGAAATGTTCTAAGAACATTCCGTGGAAACCACAAACAAGTTCTTAGAACATTGCTTGGTAGAGCTATAGGCGAGCCAGGACGCTTCGCAACTGCTTGAACAACCGCCCCTCCCACGGGATGGCCTCAATCAAGAGGGCGCTAGTCCAGAGAATGACCGTACCAAGGAATGTAGCTGTGAGCCGGGGCCCAGCGGCGCAAGCCCGTAGCTTCAGCCCAACCGGCGCATTCGCACGAGATTGCTTGTCGTATTTGAAGAATTGCGTTCCCCCTTAGTCACCCGATGTTTGATCAAGGCGACACTGGGTCGCTACACGGCCAATATGCCACCCAGTGCTTCGATGGCTGGCTTCCCAACGTAAGCGTGCAGCCCGTCGCGCCCCTGGAGCCCGGTTGACATGTCACGCGACTTCATGTTCACCGCCCCCTATCCCTCCCCTCCACTCTCTCGATACCACCCCGACTTCCCATTTTCACCCGCACGGCCCTTCCGCCACTGTCCCTGATCATCCCCGTCCCTCCCCACCTCCCGTGTCTCTCCCCTTCACCTTCCCCATCCTGCTACAACGCCCCCCTCTTTCTCCCAGTTTCCCCCTACCTCCTTTATCCCTTCCTCTTCCCCCTCCACCTCGCTCGACCACCTCCCGCTCCCCTTTTGTCCCTTCTCCTCGTCCCCCTTCGGCATTCCCTCTGAGGAAACCAAAAGGTGCCGATACCGCTAATCCCTGGACCTCCCCTGGGGTGCGTTCTGGCCAGAAGCTCGAGGCGAATCCAGCGGTGGCGACGAGGGCCTGCCAGAAGGCCCAAGAGCGGGAAAACAAGGCAAGGGTAGTGGCATGGGTACCTCTTCCTCCTCCAAATTCCCTCTTCCCCATCCCTCCGACACCCCACCTCGCCTGTCTTCTCGTCCCCCTCGCCGCCACTCACCCTGCTCTCATCTCCCCTCGAGGAGGGCCACTAAAGCTAGGTCGGGCATGTCCTCCCACAGGCGGCTCTCGGAAGAACAACAAAGACAGCAGCCAAAACGTCCTCAAACCAGTAGTCGAAGCATCATCGAAAGTTCGTCCCCGCACCACCTGTTTGACCCTCCTGTAGGGGGGACGTGCCCGACGCAGCGCTGAAGACAGCGCGGCGCTGCCTCGCCCGGGCCCAAGCTCTGCAGAAGCGCCGCGGCCCCGCTCCTCCCAGAGGGTTTGTCTCTGACCCAGCGCTCGAGGCGGACCCAGGCGGTGGCAGCGAGAAGCCCCCCGAGGAGGCCCAGGAGAAGGGCGGAGCAAAAACGCCAGGGGAGGGCCGCCGCTGGCTCGGCCGGCCTTCCTCCGAGGTGGTGTCCGTCGTCCATCACAGCGTGCATGTCATGTCCTCCTCCTCCTCCTCCTCCTCCTCCTCCTCCTCATCTTCCTCCTCCTCCCCTCCTCCTCCTCCCGCCTCCTCCTCCTCCTCCTCCTCCTCCTCCTCCTCCTCCTCCTCCTCCTCCTCCTTGTGTCTCCGCCCAGGCCTGGACCCCAGGTCGAAGCCCTTCAGCTCGGCCAGGGCCTCCGCGGACAGGTTCCCGGCGCTATAGCGGCACAGCGTGGCCAGCCTGTCCCGGGCTCTCTTGCCAGCATCGCCCCTGCGCGTCCAGCCGCCCTTCGCCTGGGGGGAGAGGCAACCATGCAGATCCACCACCTGCCGAGGTCCCCGAAGATCGATCCCCCTGGCGGTGGTTAGGAATAAGACTCCGCCTCGGAATACAGGATCTGTCATGGGACGAAGCCAGGACGAGGATATATACACCCCGCAATTGCGGATAAGAGTGAGGGGGCGGGCGCGGGCGACGCGGGCGTCGTCAAGCCGGCGGACATCGTGGCCCCCACCTTCCTTGTCGATGGCGCTCTCCTCCTCCTCCTCCTTCTCCTCCTCCTCCTTCTCCTCTTCCTCCTCCTCCTCCTCCGCCTCCTACTCCTTCTCCTCTTCCTCGTCCTCGTCCTCGTTCTCATCGTCATCGTCGTCCTCCCCCTCCACCTCGTCCTCCTCCTCCTCCTCCGCTTCTTCCTCGTCCTCCCTCTCCCCCCCTCGTCCTTCCATCATCGTCCTCCCATTGTCGTCATGTTCCTCCTCGTCGTCCTCCTCCTCTTCCCCCCCTCCCGATCCTCCACCCTCCTCCTTTTCGTCGTCGTCGTCGTCGACGTCATCGTCGTCGTCCCCTCCCTCCTCCTCCTCCTCCTCCTCCTGCTGCTCCTCCTCCTCCTCCTCCTGCTGCTCCTCCTCCTCCTCCTCCTCCTCCTCCTCCTCCTCCTCCCCCTCCTCGTCCTCCTGCAAAAGCAGCCCGCCGCAGGCGCCGAAAAAATTGGTTTGTACACTGAACGTGGTTTGGGTCGCGGGTGGGCCGCGGGTTCTCCACCGGGAACGAATGCAAAAGATGCTCGCCGCAGGCGCCGAAAAAATTGGTTTGTACCCTGAACGTGGTCGCGGGTGGGCCGCGGTCTCTCCACCTAGAACGATTCAAAAGATGCCCGCCGCAGGCGCCGAAAAATGTGGTTTGTACCCTGAACGTGGTTTGGGTCGCGGGTTGGTCGCGAGTTGATCGCGGGGTGGGTCGCGGGCTCTCCACCTGGAAGGAATGCAAAAAAAGCCCGCCGCAGGCGCCGAAAATGTTGGTTTGTACCTTGAACGTGGTTTGGGTCGAAGGTGGGTCGCGGGTGGGTCGCGGGGTGAGTCGCGGGTGGGTCGCGGGTGGGTCGCGGGTGGGTCGCGGGCGGGTCGCGGGTGGGTCGCGGGGTGGGCCGCGGGCGGGTCGCGGGGTGGGTCGCGGGTGGGTCGCGGGTGGGTCGCGGGGTGGGCCGCGGGGTGGGTCGCGGGGTGGGTCGCGGGTGGGTCGCGGGTGGGTCGCAGGGTGGGTCGCAGGGTGGGTCGCGGGGTGGGTCGCGGGGTGGGTCGCGGGTGGGTCGCGGGTGGGTCGCGGGTGGGTCGCGGGTGGGTCGCGGGTGGGTCGCGGGGTGGGTCGCGGGTGGGTCGCGGGGCGGGTTGCGGGTGGGACGACGACAACAAACAACAACAACAACAAACAACAACAACAACAACACGAATCCGCACCGCGGAATCTCACTTCAGCCACGCACCCAGGGACAATGAATGACCGTTCGGCCCCCTCACTCTGATAATCGGGTGAGGTTAGATCAAGAATCTCTGAGATCTAGCGACTCTGGAACATGTCTTGGGGGCCGCGGCCTTCTCAGAGCGCTCCGGAACGCTCTGGAACGGATTGATCCTCATCCTAGCTCCATCCGAAGTCAGCATCGAATCGGGAAATCCGATAGGGTTGGAACGCGCGACGGATCGGTTTGCAGCAGCGCAGCGTCGAAATCGGCTTGGATCGGCCGCACCAGAATGCAACAGCGCCATGCGAGGCATCGGGCCGAATTGGATTGTCGGGATATCAGCATCGAATCGGATCGAGCCGGCCGTAATCGATATCGAACAGGATCGATCGGATCGAGACAGATCCCGAGATACCGATAACGCTGCTCCCGAACCTCTTCCAAGGGGCGTCTGGCCACGATCTCGAGGCGAACCCAGCCGGGGCGACGAAAGACGGGTTGCGGTGTTGGTAGCGGCAGCGCTGGTACAGGTTCCCGCTCGGATCGCCTTGATGGCCCCGCCGTAGAAGGTCCCCACGACGGGCCTGCGCGCAGAAAGTGAGAAACAGAGCCAGGAAGAGTCCGCCAAAATCTTGTCCCTAAGGCGAGCCCTCCTCGGAAAGAATGCCTTCCGCTTCACACCGCCTTCCTCCTTCCTGGGGCAGTGGCCCATCCGGTGCGACGCGGATCGTGCACGTCACCCCTCGATGTGGAGGCTCCCCAAGTGGGGTCCGAGTAGATGGGGGTTGAGGATCGCGCCGCGTCGCCGATGCATCGCCGATACACTGGCGATGCATCCGCGGAGTCGGCGATGCACCGGCGACGTCGGCGTGGAGAGAATCGGCCTCCACATCGCGACGCGTCGCTGATGCATTGGCGCTGCGACGCTATCCGCCGACACCATCTACTTCGAACCCCTTTGGGAGGCCTGGTATGTCACCCCCAGATCTCCTTCAAACGCCCGAAACTGATACTGAAAAATGGGTACGATGCCCAACAACAAATCTTGTCCAGAGCCGATACTGGCCGCTGTTGGGCAGGCGACCTTCTGGACAACGCCCTCGACGGCACCGACAGCGAGTCCTGTCCAAAATGGAAAGTACCTGCTGTCGGTCTGTGTCCCCATTCTTTCTGCATCCAGTCCGTTCGTGCCGATCTCCAGAGGTCCCAGAGGGCCTCATCATCGTGTACAGGTCGTACCCGTTAGTGTACAGCCGCACGGCCCTGCCGAACTCCTCTAGAAAAATTCATAAATATCAATAAGCATCAACGTTTGCAGTCCGCGCGGATTTCTTGGATCTGCACTGGGTCCCCCTCCCTGGCCGGAGGAGCGCGCCAGGGCCGCGCGTGAGGCGCCTCCAGGGGGGCCCAAGCGTGGATCCGAGACATCCGCGCTGAGCGCCGAAAGTTTCTGTTTATGCAGGTGTTTCTTCTTTCGGTGAACCTGGGCAAGATTTTGGAGCGCGGCGTTGGGGAGCCGCCAGGGGGCACAAATCCCCACAACCCGCGCGAGCCAACCGACGCTGGCGAGACTGATATACGGTACGTCCGTTTCTCAGCTTGAGTATGATATGGCAATGGTAACAATAAACGTCACGGCATGCATATCCGAGAGCTACCCGATCAGCCCTCCTCGCCGCCGCGTCGAGCTCCCTCGAGTCTCGACCCAGGCGATCTCCGGGCTGCTCCAGCGAAGCTGAAAATAAAACTCGCACGCCTCGCCACATGCAACCTCATAGAAAGCATGCCTGCGCACACGAAAACACAGTCGCCATGACACGGGCGACCTCCGACGAAAGTCATGCCTGCACCTCCTTTTTGCCCTCGGGCTCGCAAGCTAGGTCAGGCTCAAGCAAGTTGCCTGCGACCGCGAGAGAAAGGTCAGACTTGCCCGCAGCCACGAAAAATCCCAGCAGTCCCAGCATCTCATCCAGCTCCTTTTGCGCCAGATGCTTCGTGCCGAGATCTGCAACATTGACCTTGCCGAGCGTCTTCGAAAGGATGACACGACGCTCGGTCACATGGCGCTGGAGCCAGAGAGTCTTTGTCTCGATGTGTCGGATGCGCCCCGCCCCTCGGCGATGCGCGATCCCACTGGCCGCCGTAGCGTCGCCAGCCAAACACAACTCCAGCTCGCATCCCATGTCACGCGCCAGCGAGACCAGGCCGATCCCGCAGGACGCAGCGCGCACTAGAGCATACCACTCGGCCTCACCTGAGCTGAGAGCTTCACTGCCCTGAGTCGCGCTGAAGACTCTGATCATGTGATCTCCCAGCTGGAAGACTCCACAACTCTTGCTCTTCCCGGTCTCCAGGCAGCCCGCGAAGTCACTGTCCGAGAAGCCCTTGAGCACACCTGACCAGCGCTGGCGTCGGAACCTCTGAATCAATCTCGGACGGCCCAGGAGATACCTGGCAATCCTCTTGACTAGCTCCATGCCGTGCTCGCACGGCTCGTGCATGCACTTCGCTGCCTCTTTGACTGCGTACTTGATGTCCGGGCGGTCCTCGTTGAGATAGCTGGCTCGCATGACCAGGCTGCGGTAGCGAGTCGCCTCCTCGCCCTCCAGGGCTCTGCCGCGATCCGCGACCTTGGCCTTCACCCCTGGCGTCGAGAGGGCCTTCCCGCGCCAGAGGTTCAGCTGCTGCATCATGATGAGCACATGGAGAGAGTCAGCCTCGAGCTCCACGTCACCTCTCGAGGTCCAACGGAAGACGCGGTTCAGGCAGACCATCTCCTGAACATCACCAGCACTCTTGATGGGCCCTAACATGCCCTCGGGCTTGACCCACATGTACTTCTGCAGCTCGCGGTAGAGTTCCAGGTTGTCGGCGCGGGAGCCCTTCAGCACGAAGTTGTCGCCGTGGACGTAGGCCACGAGCTGGTCGTCGCCTCTGCGGCATATGCAGGGGCACCACACGCCGCAGGAGAAGCCCATCTTGCCCTCCAACGTCTCACGGACCAACAGCTCGAAGTTCTGGCCTGTGTCGCGGCAGCTGTAGAGGCAGCTGACCAGCAGCCCGCGCACGTTGGGGTCAGCTGAGCGGGGGTCCTCCGCAGGCAGCTTCACCCACACAACTTCCGCTTCATCTCGCAGTGCGGGTGAGCCCTCGTGATGTCCAGGAACATGAGGACGTGCTGGTCCTCCTCGGAGTTCCTGGGCGAGCAGCAGAAGGAAATCAACATCCTGAGAGCCTCATACGGGGGTGTCGCACTGAACGTCTGCGAGGGCCCCCCCAGGTCCATGCTCGTGCGGTAGCGCGTCTCCGCCACGCACAGCCTGCAAGCGGACGTTGGGCTTGCGGTCGTCACCCTTGTTGACGTCCACCCAGATCATGGGCGCCGGGTCGCGCCCGGCCCCCTCGCGGCAGCGCTGCTTGGTGTCGTGCACGTAGGCGCCCAGGCCGCGCAGAAACTCCATCTCCTCCTTGCGGCCAGCTGCCACGAGCTCGGGGTCCAGGGCGGCCCCGCTGATGTTGTCGACGATCTCCGTGTAGTACTCTGGGTAGGCGTCCCAGATCGGCGGCTCGCCCAGATGCGGCCCAGCCTCCAGCGCGCCCAGCTGGCCGCGAGCAATCGCCTCACGACGCAGCCCACGCAGCACCGCAGCCACAAGCTTCGGCGGGTACCGCTCGATGATGCGCATGCCACGCCGACCTAGACCGACCGTCTGGCAATGCCTAGCACACCCAGGACACCGACGCGTCAGCTCTCGGGCTATCTCAGCAGAATTGGTCAACCACCCCGTAGGATTCTTGACCAGCGCCGGGCCGACGGCATCAGTGCACCACACCCATACGCACATTGATCGCACTCGACGTAGTGCACTCCTGGCATCTCGGCGACCTCTCGGATCATCCAGAGACGCCAACTCCTCGATGATGCTGGCCGCTCGTGCAAGAAAAGGCGGCCAGCTTTGATCTGCTCCTTGTAGCGCTCGGCACAGAAGACCAGGTGGACGACGCCTCGCTCCATGATGGCGTTGACGCCCACACCCTGGACGACGTCGAGGGCCTGCAGGTTCGACCACGGCGCACGCATCGGGCTGCCGGTGATCAGCAGTGGCTGCTCCAGCTCGATAGTGGCCTGCGCCCGCTGCCCGTCGCCCTCCTGGCTGAAATCGTAGCCGGTCCTGATGTCGTAGGCTGTGCCGGGCTCGAGATCAAACGCACCCGACCGAGACGTGAAACGCCCTGGCCCGCACAGCTCGCTGACGGCCACCCTCCAGTCGCCGAAAGCCGCCAGCAACGCGCAGAGCTCCAGCGAGCCCGCGCCCATGGCATCCCCAGCTCCAGGCGGCGCCTGCAGAAGCCCGCTCGGCCCAGCAGCCTGCGCCTGCGGCGTGGCTGGCGCCTGCGCTGGCGCCCCCGGCTGCTGCTCACCGCCGATCGCGGGCGCGAGGGGTGCTGGACCGCCTGGCGCCGCGAGGCGGCGCCTCGATGCCTGCGGCAACTCCGCGGGCGAGGCTCGACGCTCAGCAGCTCGTCGACCAGGTCGCTCAGTCTCCATCGGCGCCTCGGCCGGGCTGGCTGCCTGAGGCAGCGCCCCGGAGCCCGCGCCCTCCTGGCGCACAGGCGCCCTGTCAGCAGCCCCCAGCTGACGGGCCGCCGCTCCGAAGACGCGGGGGGCGAGCTCCGGGTCGTTCGCCATGGCCTGCTGGATGCGCTCACGGCGCTCCGAGCTGCGGGCCTTGGCTGGTGCGTTGGTGCGGGCCGCAAGGCAGCCCGGGCACCCGTCTGTGAAACAATACTTGGCCAGCTCCACATTCCTGCGAATGTATACGTTCCGAGGCTCAGCTGGAACCTGCTCTGGCACAACCCTCGGCTGCTGTGCAACGGGGTCGACAAGGGGTTCGTCAATGACCGTCGGGATGCGGACGTTCTCTGGCCTGTCTGGGGTCGGCATCCACGGCGCGCCCCTGATCGAGAGCAACAGGGCTGCATCGGCCCGCTGGCTCGGCGGCCTCCTTCTGATAGACCGCGCACGTACGACCCTGCCGTCGTAGCCGACGAGCATCTCGCTCGACCTCTCGATGGCGCCCAGGAAGACGCCAATCTTCCAGCGCTCCTCGAACTTGGCGTCGCGCCTCGCACTCGGGAGGAAAACGATGATCTCACCGAAAGGCGGCATCACCTTGCGAAAGGCCTTGCCCTTGTGCCCCTCGCGCGGCGTCCGTCCATCGGCGCCGACCTTGCCACGATTGATGCATCCTGCAGCGTGAGCAACCAGCCAAGTCAACACTGGATGGTCGTTCGGGATGTCTGTGCCGCGCAGCAGGGACAGGGCGACTCGCAGAGACCGTGCTACGCCCCTGACCTCCCTCACTGCTACCTCTGCCAGGCCGCTGCTGGCACTGTCGTAGGCCGGCGCCTCCTCGGGCACGACCTCGAACTTCAGATTCCTGAGGCGGATCGTCGCCTCTCGCTTGAGCGCCACCAAGGCACCCTCACCATCAGACTTGTAGATGATCTTCGGGTGGCCGGTCGCCTCCACCTGGCAGACGGCGCGGACCACGTTGCACTCATGCTGGATGCCCCTGGACGGGAAGACGTCAGCGCTGACCCGCGAGGTGGCCGAGTCGATGCCGACGAAGATGGGGAGCACGGACTGGCCCGACTCCACCTCCTCCCGCTTCACAAGGTATCCGTAGTCGACTGCAAACGTAGGTACAGCATGCGCTCTCCCAGGAGCGCCCGCTGGGCGACCATCGGCACGGCCACGCCCAGCCAGGCAGCAGCAGCACCAGTCTCTGAAGGGTGCGTGACCTGCTGCTTCGCGTTGCTCGATCTCTGCCTGGGCAGGCTCCTTCGGCCCCCGTCGTGCTCGCACTGGAGCGGCGCTGACACTCGTGACGCTCCTCGACGTCACCCTCGAGCTCGATTGTACTTCCAACTCCGTCGCCCCCTGCCACGGCGACTCCACCTGGCGGGACAGGGTCACCTGCGGCTGGGGCGGGGTGACTCTCGACGGTCGCAACTTGTCCACCATCAAGTCCATGAGGTACCACTCCTGTCAAAGAAGCGACGCCATGCAGCGCAGGAGGCCCCACTGCTGGCGCCATCATGGCGGGTCTTGCGGCAGCGCCTGCCGCCCGAAAGGGCACAAACGCTTCTTACCCTGTAGCTTGTCGCAGCCACGGCAACCCTCGACCGAGCAGAGCGGCATCTCCATCACAAGGGTCTGGGACATCTGGGTGACCTCCTTCGCTGGCACGATGCTCGCGTCCAGGTCCCAGGTACGCTGCCTCCGCGTGAATCGGACGGTCTTACCACTCTCGATGTGGACAGCGTGGCTGATGTCGTTGCCGTGCTGGTCCTGCTCGAAGACCACACGATGGCCACTCTTCACAAGGTCGAAGACCGAGAGCAGCGGTCGCCTGACGCCCGCGACACGAGCCCTGATGCCACGCAACGCACCGCCGGTCTGCACCATGAGCTTGCGCTGGCCCTCGTCTGGGATCGGCTCACCTGTCGCACTGAGGTACTGCGCTGCCGACGGCTTCCCCGTGATCGGGTAGTCGGTCCCCAGCGTGCGCGGGATCGCCGTGACCGCCGCGCCTAAGTCCATCCCGAAGCGCACCGTCTCGCAGCTCGAGGACATGGTCGACAGGTCGAGCGCCGCCAGGAAGAGGCCGCCCAAGCCCTCAGGAGGCTCAGGCTCGCCCATCTCGCCCAGGGCGCCAGCCTTCTTGGCGACCAGGCAGTCCTTGGCCAGATGCGCTGTCGAACCACAGGTCCAGCATAGCTTCGGCTTCGGTGCATCACCAGCCTTGGCCTCACCCTTGCCTTTGCCACGACCTCGACCTCCACCGCCCTTCGGCGGTGCCCTGCCTGACGCAGCCGTCGTATTCCACCAGCAGTCTCGCTTCCAGTGACCCGTCTTGCCGCAGATCGGACACGGCTTGGTCGGCAGGTCGTCGGCGCCCTTGCCCTTGCCGGCCTTGCCGTTCCTGCCCTTGCCGTTGCCAATCTTGCCGTTCTTGCCACCCTTGAAGCCGAGGGCCGCCAGCTGCCGCGCCAGGGAGTCGATGTCCATCGGGGTCGGGCCCGTACCAGTACTCGCCGTCGTCGCATCTGGGCCCGCCTGAAGTTCTCGACCTCCGCCTTCACCAGCTCCCACGTGTTCAGCCGCTGGCTGTTGAGGAGCAGGTGGTGGCGCAGCGGGCCCTCCTTGAGTGAGCGGACCAGGATGCCTATCTTGATCTCGTCAGAGAACTCCGCGCCCACAGCCTGCTCGTAGCGCTTGACATTCCTGTCGAACGCGATCAGCTTCGAGGGGACGTCACCCTCGAAGTCCCACGAGAGCAACTCCTGCAAGAGCCCCGCCGCGCGGGTGCGGCTCTGAGGCTCGTGGAAGATGACCAAGGTCCTCCACGCCTCGAGCCCCTCGTTCACCCCCGCACTGACAATGCGGTCCAGCGAGAGCCCTTTGTTGAGGCGCAACTGGTCGTCGGGCAGCGTCGCGTTCAGCACCGGCATGTCGGCGTGCTCGGCCCTGTCCATGGCGTCTTTCAGGGCCGGCTCTCACGCGCTGGCGTAGGCTCGGAAAATCGTGCTCCAGTCACGCCAGGTCCCAGGCTCGCCGTTGAAGTCGTTCGGCTTGCCGAGGACCCGCGTGTCAATCAATCTGTTCGTCTCCTGCGGCGGGCCGCCAGGCTGGGCTGCTCGTTGCTGCTGCTCTTGCCCTCAGGCCTCCTGAACCATAGCCTCTGCCGCCTGCACTCTGGCCTCGGCGGCCTCCGCCTGAGCTGCCAGCCGCTGGATGACCTGTTGCTGCTGCTGCTGCTGCTGCTGCTGCTGCGCCTGCGCGAGCGCCTGCTCGAGCTGTGCAAACCTGGCCTCGTCCATGCTCGTCGTTGGCCTCTCGGCCTCGGGCTTTGATGGCCTTGAGAGCCTCGCCCTCGCAGTGCCACCTGGCCCGGCGCAGCGCCAGCCGCAGCAGGCCCGTCACGATGATCGCCCAGTTCTCGAGAGGCGATCCGAGGACTAGCTTCCAGCCAGTCTCGTCTGCGGCTGCTGTGGCCGCACCGGCGTCTGTCACCAACGCCGCGGAGAAATGCGCAGCGGTATCGCAAGCAGGCCGACCAACCTTGCTCCGCGCTACCATGATATACGGTATGTCCGCTTCGCAGCTTGATTAAGATATGGCAATGGTAACAATAAACGTCACGGCATGCATATCCGAGAGCTACCCGATCAGAGACCCGTGGGGGCCCGCACACAAGGTCATTTCAGCGAAAGGCCACTCTTTCGCGTAGCCGACTCCTCTCTGGGGATTTCAAAAAAAGTACCGATACCGCTGCTCCCTGGACCTATCCCGGGGTGCGCTCTGACCAGGATTTCGAGGCGAAGCCAGCGGTGGGGACGATGGCCGCCCAGGAGACGCGGGAAAGGGGAAAACGGGCGAAGGGTAGAGGTATGGGTTCGTTTCCTCCTCTGAAACTCTCCTTACTCCTCCTCCTCCTCCTCCGCCTCCTCGTCCTCCTCCTCCTCCGCCTCCTCCTCCTCCTCCTCCTCCTCCTCCTCCTCCTCCTCCTCCTCCTCCTCCTCCTCCTCCTCCTCCTCCTCTGCTCCTCGATCCTCGCCGTCGAAGACGTGCTCCAGCCCGGGGTCGTTCGGCACGTCCCGCTCGGCGTGACACCTGCTGAAGCTGAGGCCGGCGGCCCAGAACTTCCCCAGTAGCGGCCGGTCCAGGTTCGCGGCGGCCCCGGCCTGGCTCTCGGGTGGGACGAAAGGCGGGGGCGGGGGAAGGAGGGGGAAGAGGAGGGGGAGGAGGAGGAGGAGGAGGAGGAGGAGGAGGAGGAGGAGGAGGAGGAGGGGGAGGAGGAGGAGGAGGAGGAGGAGGAGGAGGAGGAGGAGGAGGAGGAGGAGGAGGAGGAGGAGGAGGGGGGCAGTTCGGAGACAACCCGTGGGAGCCTCTCATACCACCTTGATGGCTCTAGCGAATCGACGCTAATCGACGCTAACTTCCCTGAGATTCTGGCTATGTAATTTCCGACCCTCCTGTGTGTTGGGACTTCGTCTTGAATCCGCAGCGCCGCGCGTCTCCTCCTCCTCCTCCTCCTTCTCCTCCTCCTCCTCCTCCTCCTCCTCCTCCTCCTCCTCATCCTGCTCCTCCTCCTCCTCCGAGGGACACAATGGGCGCGTCCGCATGGCCCGCCCATCTCGGCACACCCCTCACACGTTTCGTGGCCCCCTAGGAGCTCCACCGAGGGCCCTAGTGGGTGCGTTCGCATGACGTCGCCCGACAATTTCCGCACACCCCTCGCACGCTTCGTGGCCCTATTAGAGCTCCACTGAGGGCCCCAATGGGCGCATTCGCATGGCGTCGCCCCGCACTTTTCGGCCCAACCCTCACATCATGCCCCTCAGGGAGCTCCACCGAAGGCCCCAGTGGGTGCGTTCGCATTTTCAAGCAATATTCCCCACTTCATGTCAGACACCCACGGACTTGAGGCATCAACTCGCGTCGCCGGTGGTCCCTCGGACCCGTTGAACACATTATCATTTGCAGTCGGTTGCCTCCCAATAGTCATGTGCCGCGCGATGCTTAGGAGTTCAGCCTGTGTTTGAAGGGCGTCGGTAATGGTCAAAATTCCCAGCGGTGGTCCATCGGACCCGCAGAAATATTTTCATAGCGAGGTCCAGGAATACGAGAAACGGTGATGATAGGGAGGACGGGAGTAGGAACAGCACGTGGCCCCAGTGAGCGTGCTCGCATGGCATCCCCGCGCCCACTTCGGCACGCACGTCGCACGTCCTCAAGTCCCACAGGGATATCCACCGATGGCCCTCAACACCCACAGACTTGAGTTAGCAAGTCGCATTCGCTCCATTGCCACATGTGGGGTATTGGACTTCCAGTCTGTGTCCTGAAGGGTGTCACCATCGCACATTTCCAGACAGGATTCTCCGTCTCGTGCCAGACACCCAGGAACCTGAGGCACCCATTCGCGCCATCGGTGTTCCTTCGGACCCGGTGAACACACCTCGCTCGCGCGGGGGCCTGCCGGAAGACGGCCAGCGCCCTCGCGGCATAGCCCGGCCTCGAGGAATCCCTGCGCGCGGCGGAGGACCTGAGCCTGCCGCGGATCGGCTCCATCGCGCGCGGCCCGGGCCCCGCGCGCGTCGCAAGCGGTTCACGCTCATACGCAGACAGGCCCGCCCGAGCTTGACCCGCGGCGCGGAGGCAGGCTCGCGAGCTGTCGCGGGCGTCTCTGGTTGAAGAAGTCTAGGCCGCACATGGTTGCGCGTGTCTGCAGTTGGCGCAACCTGCACGGCAAACGCCCGCGTAGCGCGCGGTGCTGTCCTGTTATATATTGACTACCTACCAGACCACCCCAACCCAACCCGAAGACCCTAATTTCGGGTTGGGGGGGTAAGGGTTCCACATGTGTTTTTTCGATGTTTCCCGACCCCCCCCCCACTGGAAATCGAGGGTAAATCTGAGCCTTCGGGTTGGGTTGGGGTGGTTTGGTGGGTGGTGATATATGGCGCGGGACGCTGTGACAGTGCAGAGCGCGGGGCGCTGGGGCGCCGCGCAGGCGCATGGCGCTGTCCGTCGCCACTCTCCTATCAGGTCCTCGGCGGCAAGTCGCCCGCTTGACGCTCGACCACGTGCAGCATTCCACGCGTCGCGCTGTCCTGTGATGTCCCGCGTGATGCAGCGCGCGGCGCTGCTGCTCGCAGGAATCCTTCCTCCAGTTGGACTTCCTCCTCTCCGTGACTCCGTCCTGCTCCGTGTCACGCTCGTCGTACTTTCTCCACTGCGATTCGATTTGTGGGCGTCTATGCGTGAATGGGGAAATCTGTGCGCGGTTTTACCGTCTTTGGCGAAGTCGTCGAGGATATTGTGGATCCTTCGCAGTGCTGTTGTGCATGGAGCCGTCCTGTTGATGTTCGCCCCTCATTTCTCGAGGGCCGGGTTCTTCGCCAGGCTAGTTTCTCCCTACCTAGGCTCTGCCTAGAAGGGTTCTTACCCTGTTGGCTTAAAGGGCCGGGCAGTGCTAAACGCCCCGGGCGGTTCCCTCAGGATCCGCCCCGCGGTTCCCCTAGTTACGTCCCCTTAGCTTAGTGTTGCTTATCTCATCTTAGCTTAGCTTATTTCATCTTAGCTTAGCTTAGCCTAGCCTAGCCTAGCCTGGCTTAGCTTAGCTTAGCTTAGCTTAGCTTAGCCTAGCCTAGCCTAGCATCGATCCAGGCCGAAACGTGAGACAGAACGATGGGGTCCAGGGCTCCAGTCGTGATTTTTGTTTGAAATGTTGCAAGTTGTTCGCAACGTCGGATGTCAGAGTCGACGCTGGGTCGGCGCTGAATCGACGCTGCACCGGCGCGAGATCAACAGGCGCGAATCAGCGTGCGCCCACGCTACACAGGCGGGATGCAGAGGGCGCAAGGGGCTCTCCTGTTTTCGGCTCCACGCAAGGAGGAGTGGCCCTGGGCAAGAGTGACCTCTGGTGCGCGGCTTCTTGGGGGCCGAGGGGGGACCAAACCTGGGCGCGCAAGCCGCTGCCCCTGCTTCGTTTTCAGCCATCTGGGGGCCCATCTGTGCCCGCACCAGAAGGTCACTCCCGCGAAAGGTCACTCTACCGTCCAGTCGAGAAGGGCAGGGGTTGAGAGAAAAGGGGGTCTACGAAACCTGCTGCGCGCACCCGGTTTCGGCCCCGCCGGCGGGCGCGCTCCTCGAGACACGGGCGCCACCCGCGCCCCGAGGCACCCTCGAGAACCAGCTGCGTGAGCTGCTTCGGTACCCCCCCCTCCCCTCCTCCGCCTCCTCCTCCCCCTCCTCCTCCACCTCCTCCTCCTCCTCCCCACCTTTTTTAACCCGCCTACCCCCTTTTCGCACGACCCGACTGGCAGAAGGAAAGGCACCGACTCGCCAGGTCGGATCGGATCGGAGCGTGCACCGAATCGGGTTGCACCAGCACGGGATCGAAACATCGAGCCGGACTGGCCGCGCCAGGATGCACGGCGGCACGCCGTGCAGGCATCGGGCCGCAGGGGATGGCCGAGAAGTCGGGATCGAGGCGGATCGGATCGAGCCTGGCGTAAGCAGCATCACATCGGATCGATTGGGTGGAGATGGGCACCGGCCTGGTGGTTGCGCACGACGCCAGGCTGCTGGAGGGCCGCGTCGCACAGGAACGGCATCTCCCAGTGGTCGTTGACGTTGGGCAGCGTGCCGTCCTGCTGCATCAGGTCGGCGGAGGTGGGGTAGGTGGACAGCACCTTCGGGGACAGTTCGTGGGAGCCTCCCGTACCATCTTGCTGGCTCGTGCGGATCGACGCCGCCAATCGACGGCAACACCGAATCGACGCTAGTTCGACGCTGAGTGGACGTTAAGTTGACGCCTTCCCATCGATCACCAGACGCTAGCGCACGCCGGTGCACTCTAAAAACGACGAAATGTCGAGGGCGCACCAGGCTCCCATATTTACTACCGATGGCACCGCGTACTCGTTGTCTGCCAGCGCCCAGTGGTGTATCATGTGGTCGTCCCAGCCCGGGCTGAAGAGCGTGTGGGCATCGATCTGCATGCAAAAATCCTCCATGGATAGCAGAAAGGTGCTGTCTCTGCCCCCCAACCCCCTCCTCCTCCTCCTCCTCCTCCTCCTCCTCCTCCTCCTCCTCCTCCTCCTCCTCTCCTCCTCCTCCTCCTCCTCCTCCTCCTCCTCCTCCTCCTCCTCCTCCTCCTCCTCCTCCTCCTCCTCCTCCTCCTCCTCCTCCTCCTCCTCCTTGTAGGACGATGCTGACGTCTTCCTACGGTGGGGGCCCATGTCAAGAAACACTGGCCTCCAGGGTGCCCTGGGTTTCTTGGGTGCCGGTGGTTTTGCCATGGGAAGCGTGACGTTCCCACACCAACAATCAATGGACGTCCTGGGGTCTCAGGGGTGGGTTTCTTGTGGAAGGTTCTTCTGGACTGGCCTCCACTGCACTCCCTCGCCTCACAACACGCAGAGACTGGCTGGGGATATCTCGCCTTGTTGCCCTGGCCGCGACGGTGTCCGCCGCTCGCACGCTGCTGTGGCGCCAGCCCGTCTTCGACGGACTCGTGCCCCTCAGCTACGGTTCCTCCCAACCCTTCGCCTCCGTAGCCATTTGTGGCGTAAACGGCCCCAGCAGTACTGTCGTCTCTGCTTTTTCTGCTCATTAGATTCCCCGGATGTATTCGCAGGCAGGGGATGATATCACCTTGCGTATGGTACCTCCGTATCTGGCAGAGCAGCCGAACAAGATGAGATCCTCATTCGTTCCTGAGTGCACCTGCGCGTTGTCAGACGCCGCTTGCAGTATGGCATCGTACGAGTGTCCGTCGGAGGTGGCTGGGCGCAAGGTCTGTCCCCCCGTCACGCACCTAGCCTCCCCCGCGGCCTGCTCCCTTCGAGAGCGATCGTTGAATGTGTTTGCGGACAAGTAGGTCTTGCCTTGCCCCCTCGTGACCAGTGCACTGCACCCCTTCCCTTCCTGATATTCCGTCTCTATACCGTCTCTATGCCCCGATTTCTCCCACTCCGTCATTCTCGTCATTGTCCCCCCCTCCAGAAAGTCCACCGCGCGTGGAAGAAAGCTCGGGGGGGATCGCCGGTCGGAAAAGTGGCAGATACTATATAAAAGGTATCTCCCTCTTCGAGGGTGTGTTTTTTGCCTTCTTTGTTTTTTTGTTTCCGGTTTCTGTCTGCACACTTCTACAGTGGGCTCCCCTCGGATACTGTATCAATCGGTCTGACCAGCCTTCAAATCCGATTGCATCCTTTATGTCTCATTCCCTCGAGCTGCTTACATCTGCTGCCACCCTTGCATTGCACTGCCCAAGCCGCATCACTCTGTCCTCAACATTTCCGACACAATGCACTCCAACAATAATCCAAACATAGTCCAAAAATAGTCTGGGGACTATTTTTTGAGTATTGTTTGACCTTTTTGGGGTATTTTGGGGGGTATTCTTTATTTTTGGTCCAAATCCTCCTGTCGGGGGACGCGCCAGACTTAACACCTCCCACTTCCGTCCCTTCGCTCGCCGCCGAAACACCGCACCTTCGGCGGCGGGCCGCCCCCACAGGGGGCCGCGCGAGTCGTGCGTTGGCAGAACTGGGTTTAGTGGAACCTGGTTTAAGGATGTGTACCGGGGGGCGCCCCCCCTCGCCCCGTTCCGCTAACCGGAACTGCCGTCACCCGAAAAACACCATGTACGGCAAACCTGGTTTCGTGAATCTGGCCAACTGAAGGGGCCCTACCATTGACCGGGTCCCCTTACCCGGGGCCCTGGCTATACCCGAGCGAGGGCAGTCGGGCGCCCCCTGCGCCGCGGTCTGGAAAGGGCGGTCGGCGCGGCGGCCCTCCTGTCCCCAAAGGGGGGGGCAGGGGGGCCGCGCGAGGCCCCGCCGGGGAGATCATCCGAGGCTCCGACCTTTGTCCATCCGGCGGTTCCTCCTGGGGTTCGGCTTCCGGATAGGAGGCCACATGCGAACCCTACCCCTGCCCCCCCACGATTTCTGAGGGGGGGTGTAGGGGTAGGGCTCGCATGTGGCACCCTATCCGGGCCACCCCCTGGAGGAGGAGTGGGGACCTCCGGGGCCGCGGGTTGCAAAAGTCATGCCGGCGGGCGCGGGGACGCGGAGATGGCCGCGCGCCCTCGCGCCCTTCGCGTGGCGCACGTGACGTACGAGAAGGATGGGCAACCTCACCTTAGGATTGTGGATGCCACGACAATGGACACCCCAACAGTCCCATCATCGATTTAAACATGTCTTCGACATGTCGGAGCAGCGTCCTGGAAATGTATGAAACCTGATCTTTACAGGTGTAAAGCAGTTTCTGACACGCTTTCTGGACACCTGGAAGCTATTTGGCAACACGCTTCCTCTCCAGCGATCGCCCTCCGCAGCCTCAGGAAGCCTGCCCGCCCTTCCCGTGCGGGCTGACGGCACCTCGAGCCCTGCCGGCGGGCTGGAACCGCGGGCGACCCGCGGGCCCCGGCGGCTGCAGCAGGGGTGGCCAGCCCGGGGGCGGGGGCGTATCCGGAGGCTCCGGCCGCCCGCGTCTTCGACGAGGCCCCCTGGCGAAGGCGTGTGGTGCCCAGCCAGGTGCCATCAACTGAAGGGGCCCTGGGACACACAAGTGAAGCACGCGCAAATAACAGGATTCCCCATATTTCCAATATTTTCTGGGCTTTCCCCTCCCCCACACTTCCCGTATTTCTTCGGAATCGACGATGAGTTGTGTCTATGTTTGTCTTCCCTCCTGATCAGTTCTCATTGGGGGGAAAAGCGCACGAGTATAAACTGCTGGAGCTCCGCACGGCTTCTTTGGATCGGCGCTGGGCCCCCCTCCCTGGCGCGCGGGGCGCGTCAGGGGGCGGCGACGGAGGCGCCGCCAGGGGGGCCCAGCACAGATGCAAGAAATCCGCGCTGAGCTCGGTAAATTTCTGTTCATGCCGTTTTTTCGTCAACGAATTCTGGCCTCCGCCGAAGTGATGGGGAAACCAGAACCCAAATCGTAACCCAAATCGAATCGACATGAATCGATTTGGACACGGCATCCATCGAAACCGACTCGGATCGCATCGGAGGAATCGAAATGAGCCCTGGATGGGGACAGGTCTGATGATCGAGGTCACCTAGACGAACATGCGATCCAGAAACTGATCATTGAAGAAATCGGGGCCAGCCTTCCGAAGTCTCTTCAGACACATCTGCGGCAATCTCTGTTGCTAACGTTGGATGGGGCGAGTGTGCTTCAGAAACTGGGCAAGATATCCAGTAAGTTGGTTAAGAGACGCTGGTCCAGCTGCTAAGGAGGGCCAACAACGGTCTCAAGGGGGCCCAAGAGGGAGAACTCGAACTGAAATGTCGAGCCCCCCGCACCAACAGGAACCCCGAAAACCGCCAGCGGGCGCCAAAAAGGACCGAAGCGGACCCCGAGAGGCCCCAAGAGAGGCCACCAGATGTTCCCCAAGAGGCCCCCCTAAGGACTGCAGGTGGTCCCCAGAACGCTTTTCGGGAGGAAGTTTCGCAACCATACGCCTGTGGGCCACACTCTTCAACCGCAGCGTGTCGCACCTCCTTATCCGCACCTGGCGGCTGCCTTGCCTTGACTGTCAAGGCCCAAGTCGGCGGTTCGATCTCCTGAGGCCTAGCGCCGATCCAGGAGGAGGAGGAGGAGGCGGAGGAGGAGGGAAGGAGGAGGAGGGAAGGAGGAGGAGGGAAGGAGGAGGAGGAGGAGGCGGAGGAGGAGGAGGAGGAGGAGGAGGAGGAGGAGGAGGAGGAGGAGGAGGAGGGAAGGAGGAGGCGGAGGGCGGAGGAGCACCCCCATCGCCCCCTCCTCTTGGAGGAGTGCCGCCGCTCCGACCGACCTGGCTGGACCGCGGCGCGGGGCGGCGCGCGGCCTGCCCCTGCGCGACCCCGTTGGGGGGAGGGGGGGGAGGACGGCCCGCCGCCGAAGGTGCGAGCACGTCGGTCGGAAGGAGCAGGGAAAGGCATGAAGTGGGAAGGCGGGCGAACTCGATGGGGTCCAGGCCCCCCCACTGGCCATCGCTCGGACGTCCATTCCCTGTGCTTTTTCGTCGGTTTCGTGCGTGGCTGCTTCGCCAAATGATCAAGGATGCTCCTCGATGGTCCTCGTCGAAGGAAAAATGCACACGTCCGAGCGAGGCCAAGCCCCAGGGAATAAGAAAACACAGCAAGAGCGTGTCGATTCTTGAAGTAGGAAGGCGCTTGAAGTAGACTGGGATCTGGGAGTCCAAAAATACCTGCTTTCAACGACCGGCGTGTACCCCTTCGGCGGCGAGCGGAGGGGAGGAGTGGAACGTGGGAAGCGGGAAATGGCCCTCCAAGGCCCTTGCATCCTCCCCGCGCATCCTCATTGTCCGCGTTGACCGCACCTCTCCCCGAAAGTGGGCCGCTCGGACAAGAATCGGGGAGACGTAAGACTCGGGTACAGGGACTCGGGTTGGCCTCACGGGGGCCAACATAAACATGACGAGGCCCCATCTGAAATCTGACGCGGGCTCCCGCTGCAGACATCCCACGAAAACGGGACCGCCAAAATCCAGGACGCGCTCGTCAAAAAAAAGTCGGCAAACCCGAGATCCGGGTTCACTCGAGTCTTACGCTTCCCCGGAAGAAGGGGGCACTCGGGGACACACCCCAAGAGGGGCTGCTCGGACGCACCCGTGTCGAGGATGGACGCCCCCCAAAGCACATCCCCGTGCAGGGCCCCGAACGTCTTGGCCAATCGACGCTCCCCCAAAGCCTAGGACTTGGATCGCCAATCCCCCCGTTGGTAGGGGGAAGGGGGCAATGCGTGGATCGACGGCGCCCCCGGGGCTCCTCGGGGCGGCTCGGAAGCCCCCCCCCGGGCCGTCTGAGAAGTGTTCCGTGGCTTCCCCGAAGGCGCAGAACCCTTCTCTCAGGAGGCGCGAGGGCATCTGAGAAGTCGCGCCGCCTTCTGAGGAGGCCTTCTCCTTCTCACTTCCCCCCCTCGCTCGCCGCCGATGATTGCCCATCGGTCGGAAGAAGTGGGTAGAAGCACGAATTAGGAAGGCGTTGGAAGTAGATCGGGCATCCGCCCGCCCACTGCAGACGAGGGAGGAGGGAAAACCGCCCGATCCTTGGAGTGGGAAGGCGCCTGAAGTAAGGATTGGGATCTTGGGATCCAGAAATACCTGCTTTCAAAGACTGGCGTGTAAGAAGACTCTGAACGAATAAACTTGGGCTAGATTACCATATACTTCTACAAGCAAGCCTGGGCCAGATTATTTGGTTGATGCTGCAGGGGCGAGCGCAATCAAGAGACTGGGCCAGCCCTCCAATATGATGGTTAAGAAAGCTGGCCCAACTTTTCGGGAGGAGGTTTCTTAAACAGATGTCCGGCTGTAAAGAACAATGCTCAAGAATCCGGGCGACGCAATACTCTAGCTTGAGGGACCCGCGTTGGCCCCTGACGCAGCCGTCAGAAGAATGACGGGACCGCCCCTGAAATCCAAACATCTAACCAAACCTGGAGCGCCAGCATGCGCGCAAAGGCCGTGAAAACGTGGCGAAAGGCCCGAATTCTGCCACACCCGAGTCGTACCCGTCGGCCGGAAGAAAGAAGTAGAAACATTAAGTAGGAAATTCGGAAGGCGCTGAAAGTGGATTGGGCTCCCGCCCGTCCCCTGAAGAGGGAAGAGGGAGCACCGCTCGACTCTTGAAGTGGGGAGGCGGCCCAAATAGATTGGGATCTGGGCATCCAGAAGTGCACATTCCCCCGAAGAAAGAATCCCGTGCCGGGCCCCCCCTTCTTCCTGTGCTGGATGCTCATTCTGGGGACCTTCCTGAAGACACTCGCTCCACTCTTGCGTCGAAGCTGCGTCGAACGTCCGTCGACTTGGGTCGACCCTGAGTCGAACCTGAGTCGAAACTGAGTCGAACCTGAGCCGAACCTGAGTCGAACTTGAGACGAGCTTGAGTCGAACTAGAACCGAACAGATCTTTCAGGTGGCACCCAGGAAGGTCCCCAGAACGAGCATCCGACCTGTGGGTCCTCCAGCCCCTCGCCGTCGCTGATCAGCAGCGGCTGGCGCGAGCGCGCAAACGCGGGCCCCTTCGCCTCGCTCACGTCCATGCGGTGGACGCGCACGTTCCGCGCGGGCCTTCGCGCGGGCGCGCGCTGCCAGCGGGCCACGCTCGCGGACTTCGTGCGCGCGCGTTGCTGGGGGGGGGGGGGCAAACGAGGGGGCCCACCTATTGAGCAGGGACCGACCGTCCCGGCATCACTATAGGTCTACCACGAAATGTTCTGGGAACCCCACAATCCGAAGGTTCTAAGAACAACAGCAGTGCTCTTAGACCTTAAAACGATGCGTTAAACCAAGACAGCTTCAGCCAGAAATGTTCTAGGAACATCTCGCGCAGACCACAAACGGTCCTTACAACACTATCTGGTGGGCCCATAGGCGAGCCGGGACGCTTCGCCACTGCTTGAACCTATCCAGCACCCTTGGGGGCCCGCAGGTTGCAGCTCAGGGGTCCGTTGGGGCCCCTTTATCGGGCACACGCTAACACGGATCGGTGAAAGTGCTGCCCCTCAGAGATGAGGCCAGTGCCACCTGACTTGGCGAGGAAGCGCGTCGATCTCGCATCCCATCGCTATTCCACGCGCCTTGATCCGTGTTTGCGCTTCCCCGCCTTGAGTGCCACTCTCCCTGCAATCCTCGACCCCCCCCACCCTGGCGGCCCGCACCAGGGGGCAGGGGGAGGGGGAACGGCTTCTTCGAAGCAGAGGTGCTTCTAAGAAGCCTTCCCCCTTTCCCCCGTACCCGTAAGTCGGGCGCGTCCCCCTACAGGGGGATTTTGGACGACAAAACAAAAACTCAAAAGATATTCAAAATATACAAAAAAAATCCTCCAAAAATAGTCCCCATACTTACTCTTTGAATATTCCCCCTGTAGAGGGACAGGCCCGACTTAACCCTACCCCCCTCTGCGCGTGGCCGACCCCCGTCTATTGCTCCCCCCCTGCCCAGCGCCCAGGGACTCCGCAGTGCGCGCGGGTATATGCACTCCGGGCGTCGGCGCTGCTCGCAGGGGCGAGAGAAAGAGAGCAAGGCACACGAGGGTCTGGGGAGGCCGCCCAGTGAGGATCAACGAAGGGGGGGGGGGGCTGGCTCGGGTAGGCGGAGAAACTCGAAGGGCCCAGGGACATGCAAATAAACAGACACAAATATGACAGGATTCCACTGATGTTGCTCATAAGTTCTGGACGTTCGGCTTCCCCACCACTTCCCATATTCCCCATATCTCCCGAGGGTCGACGATGACTTGCGTCTGTGTTTTCCCCTCCTGAGAAACATCGACCTGTAATCGACGATGCGTCGCTGATGGTTCGGCGAAATGGCACCCGAGGGCGAAGCCGCACGCTCCTAGGCGGGGCGGAGCTATCGAACGCCCATATCTAGAACCAGAAACAAAAACTTCATAAACAGAAACTTGAGGCCCCCCGCGTTTTCGTTTATGGCGTTTTTCTTTTCTTCTTCGAATATCGGCGATCAGTGGGCGATCTGCGGGGGGGAATGCGACCCGCCCACCCGGAGCCAGCCCCCCCCCCCCGTGGCGGTGCCCGGGACTCGCGCCGCCCTCGGCCTCCTCCCGCCCCCCACGGCACCCCGCCGAGAGATCGGCGCCAGGCTCTGGCTGCCGAAGCCGCCCGCTCCCGGGGCGGGGCCTGGGCAACGCTTGACGGACTTCTTGGATCGGCGTTGGACCCCCTTCCGCGCGCTGGGGCCGGCGCCAGAGACGCGGCAAGGGACCAGGGCCGATCCGACGAACCTGCGCGGACCTCCGAAAGTTTGCATGAGTGTGCGCATGCTGCCCGTGCTCCTTGGAGCACCCGGCGCTCGCGACAGGCCGAGGATGATCTCATGATACGACTGGCTCAAGATACGTGCCGCGGGTTCGTATCGTGTTGACCACGCCGTTGGTTCCCGACACCGCGGGGATCTTCCGACCTTGAACGATCGGCCGTTTCCAGAACGTCAGACCGTTCAAAATCGACCGGTTCTGGGTCGCCAGCGGCGTTCAACGTTGAACACCAGCGGCGGGGTCGCCGCCTGTCGACACGACGCGAACCTACCTCATCAGGAATTCGGGGGTGTCTGGCGGCCCACGTTTCTGCAGCCCGTGTGGAACATTAGGAGGTCTTGAAAATCGGCTCTTTTTTTTCCGCACAAATCATTCGAGGTCTTGAAAATCGACTCTTGGAAATCTTGGAACGTGTCTGGAGGGGAGCACCCCTCCCTGGGAGAAGCTTTCGGCTCCAGCGCGTCGGCGACGTCGGCGTCATCGCCGTCGTCGTCGTCGTCGTCGTCGCGTCGTCGTCGCCGTCGTCGTCGCCGTCGTCGTCGCCGTCGTCGTCGTCGTCGTCGTCGTCGTCGCCGTCGTCCCCCTCAAGGGTCGGCGGCACTGGCCGTAAGGCCTCCGCAACCACCTCTTGGAGATCTTAGAACGCATCCGTGTCGTGACCTCCTCGCTCCTCTGGCGCGAGGCCCCGCGGCCTGCAGCCGCCGAGGGACTCCTCCGTGAACCGCCCCTGGCCCCACTCGTCGTCGTCGTCCTGCCGCACGTGCAGCCGCTCGCGCCCCGCGAACCTCGATGGCGAACGACAGCAGCACCCAACCATACCCATATAGGAAGGGTCGGAGGGAAGACGGCTGGACATGGATAAAGTGGAGGCCAGTCCACAAGAATCCTTCCACAAGAATCCCGACCCTGAGACCCCAGGACGTCCATTGCTATTTGGTGTGGGAGCGTCACGTTTTCCCTAGCACCCCACCATACAACAGTCAACCCGTATCATAAGGATGCGCGGTAAGGATGCACTGGCCTTGAAGGCCCATGTTAACGTTTTTCGAACGAGGCTGGCCAGCGAAAGTCGCTAATGCTGGGCAGCGGGGGCAAGGATAGGTGGCCCATCCTTACTATGCGGGTTGACTGTACCCACACAGGGGGGTTCGGAGGGACGTACCCCTAGCCCCTCTCGTCCGCACCATGGGTATGGGTGTGTGTGTGTTGTTCGTCCGTCACTAGCGGCCTCCCAAATGGAATCCGAGCAGATGGGTTCGGAAGATCGTCCCGCATCGACGATGCGACGTCGGAGATGCATCGGCGACGCCGCCGTGGAGGAATCCGGGCTCCGCACCGAGCTGCATCCCCGAAACATCGGCGATGCGGAGCGATCCTTCCAGTCCATCCGCTCGGACCCCATCTGGGAGGCCTAAAGAACCGCTTCCTCAGCTTCAGCGGGGTCCCGAGCTGCCTGCACAGCTCCTCTCGGCTACACCCCCGCACTAGTGACCCCAGGTAAGATTGACCTGTCGTGCGCGGCTGAAGGGGGCGCGAGGTACCCAATCCAGGCGCGCAAGCAGCCGGCGCCGCATCGCGCTCGGCGATCGGGGGGACCCTGGTGAACCCGCACCAAAGGCTACTCCGGCGAGAGGTCACTCTTACGTTTGTTTTGAGAGGGGGGGAAAGGAAAAGTCAGGGAACACGTAAGGCACCACAACACTCCAGTCCGTTTGCCAGTCGCACGCAGCCCCACACAGCCTGCCAGGCCCGATGCAGAAACCCTGGACTCGCACAGCGAGGAAGATGCACGTGTCACCGAATCGGTGCATCGGTGCAGGACCATGTGCACGAGGAGGAAAACTTAACTGGACCCACAATAAAATTCATTATCCAGACATGTTAAAAACCAGTGAAACTTGTAAAACGATCAAACATAATTTAAAAACAATTAAAACACTTACAAGTATGAACAGTATAAATATTCAATACTAGAACTACAGAATGTATGAACATCATAGAAATCTTTAAAATTAATATATCTATATATATATATATATACACATGTTATATTTCTTTATTTATATATTAATAATAATAATACTGATAATAATACTAATAATATTAATAATAATAACAATAATAACAACAATAATAACAATAATAATAATAATAATAGTAAAAAATAATACAAGAGCCGTGCAGGAAAACATGTGCAGGAAAACAGAAACGTCGCGTTCGAACCTCGATCCTCCAGCACGTCCGGGTCCCCCGCCGCGTTCTGCTGCACCACGCCGGCGTACACCCGGTCCTCGCGGGCGGGGAGCACAGCTGGGCGGCGCGCCGAAAGGGGGGCAGCGGGGGCGGGCCTTCCCCGGGCTGCGTCGGCCACGCGCAGAGGTGGGTAGGAGGAGGGGGGAAGGTTTCTTAGAAGCGCCCCTGTTTCTTAGAAGGCGCTGGCCTTCTCTATTGGACGTAAGGCTGGGGCCTTCTAAGAAGCAGGGGTGCTTCTAAGAAGCCTCCCCCCCTCCTCCAACCCCCCCCCCTTGCGCGCCGCTAGCTGCGGGACAAACAAAAAAAACACGGGGGGGGGGGTTTGGCCGTGCTTGGCCTCCGTGGGCCCTCGCCGCGAGGCGGGGATCTGTCCCGATCCACCGCCCGGGAGCCGCCGTCCTGGGGGCCCGGCGGGCGACGAATGTGGATATGTTTTTGTTGGCCCCCCCTCGGGGATGGACAGACCTGCCTTTGGTAAAACGTGGTCAAGTGAAAACGACCCGAGGCCCAAACCTGGCGGGCGCAAGCCTGGAAAATAACGGCCGCGGCGCCCTCTCGAGAACCGAAAACGGACAATACACTAATCGACGTGTCACTGTTGGGGGTTCTGTCCACCCCCGACCCCCGTGGCCAAAATCTATCGGTGTCCACCGCCTTTGGCTGTCCGCGAAACTCGATCCTCCTGGCATGGGTGCGTGCAGATCCTCGCCTCGAACTCTCGGGCCCCGGAATGGTTCACTCGGGAGGAGAAGCCCGGTCACGGGGCAAAGGTCTAGACCTCTAAGGGCCCACGTTGCGAAAAAAAATGGCGTCGGAGATCTGGATTCTCAGAAGGCTCAAGAGATCGACATTCGGCATTTCTGAGAAGCTCTCTGGATTTGAATCTTCCCTGAAACCGCAGGGGGTTTCTCAGAAGGCGGCGGGACTCCTCTGACCTCCCCCTTCGGCGCGCCGACGAATATCAGGTCGAGATTAAGCGTCGGGGGGCGTCACCCCCGCCGACAGCCCCACATCGACCCCCGTCGCGGGCAGCCGCCGCGCGCCGAAGGCACTCCGACCCCCGTCGCGGCGCGACGACGACGCGAGGTTAACCCCCTTGTCAGAAAGGTACCCCCCACGCTTATTGAGAAACCCAGGGCGATCAGAGGAACAAGAGAATGCAGAAGCGCAAGCGTGCGGAAGTCCGCGCGGACTTCCTGGAGCGGCGCAGGATCCCCCCCCGAGCGGCGCCTCCAGACCCGCCCCTGGCGCACTCCGCGCGCCCGGGGGGGGGGAGGGCCCGGCGCCGACCCAAGAGGCCCGCGCGGACCTCCGCGAAATGGATACGCACGGCGGAGGCTTTGGGCAGGGCCGCTCCACAGGGCGTCCGTCAATTTGCGGTGGGAACGTCACGCTGTCCGTCGCAAAACCATCGAAGCCCCAAAAATCCAGGGCACCCTGGAGGCAAGCAGGGTGTCTCTTGGCATGGGTCTCCACTGCAAGGAACCCTCTTCCTTCCTTCCTGGCGCCACCGTGGACAGGTCTCCAAGGGAGAGCAGGTGGCACACAGGCCACGGTAGCACTGGCGCCCGCTCTGGCCACTGCCCCCTCGTTCAAAGGAGAACAAAAGGGGCGGCCGCACAGGACCCTCACGCGCTCCGACCACAGAACACCTACGCACAGATACGCAATTGCCCACAGAGAGCGGGGCGCCCGCAGACTCCCCAACGATATCCCCAAAGTTCAAAATGAAGTCAAAGCTGGATGTGGGCGACCTGCGACCACAGGGATCGGACCGACCAACTACTGAGGAGAGGAGGACGAGGAGGACCAGGAAGAGGGAACAGCTGCGCCGTCACGGCAAGAGTTTGGGCCACAGGGACTACCGGCACCGCCAGCGCTGGCACGACAAACCGTTTGGGCCGCTGGAATTATCGGCACCGCCAGCGCCGTTACGACAAAAAGTTGGGCCACTAAAGCGATCGACGCCGCCAGCGCTGTCACGACAGAACTTCAGAAGCCTACTACTCGAAGAGTTTTTTGAACTTATCGGTGTTGGTCTGCCCTCGCCTCCTGCCCCTGCTTCTCTTTGCCGCCGATAGCGACAAGGCGAGTGACCAAGGAACGAAGAGCAGGCTTAAGCTCAGGCGAAGCGACCATGCGCAACTTTGCTGCGTGCTGGTCGAATCCATGCGGAACTTGCACAAGAAGGCTTGGCCTATCAACTCGCAGCATGATGCGCATGAACGGCGGCCAGTGCCTCTTCCGGGGCTTGGTAGAGCTCGTCGGCCGCGGTGGCGTTGATGTTCCGGCACCATAACAGGATCTGCTTGTGGCCTGCGTTCGACGTGTCCTCCGACTGCGCCTTGAACTCCTGGGTCCTCTCCTCGTAGTTGTTCATCCCCGTTTGCTTTGCTGCAATTGGGGCAAGCTCCTTCTTGCAGATCTCGGTCGTAATAACGGCGGCACGCAATTTCCTGGACGCCAAGATCAAGTTGGAGAGCCAGCTGCGTGACAAGAGTGGGGATCTGGCACTGCACCTTCATGATGCCCATCTTTTTCCGAGTTTGATGGCCGACTGCGCTGCGAGTTCGCGCGAGGACCATCCTGCGGGAACTTATCCATGAGAAGAGAAAGCAGGGACATGTGTCTGCACGTGCGTATTGAATGACTCCGATCTGGAACTCTCCTGGCTATTAAGTTTGCAACGAAGGCAAGAAGGATCAGGATCTGTGACAATGCGGTGGCATTCGCTCCCCTTCCCCTCGCAACGCCCACGTGCGAACGATGCAAAAACATGGTCACGAGCCAATCGTTTGCTTGAGTACGTCTCTTTACACCAAGGGCACTGGTTCGTGATAGCGGCGAATGTACCTGGATGTTTCTGCTGGCGCCTTGGTTTCTTACTGCACGCCGTATGCCTAACCAAACCTGCAGCATCGTGGTTAAATGACCCAAAGATAGCCCCATCAGGCACCATAGCGTCTCATCTGGATAAAGAAATAACTTGGTCCGCGGGATCGTCGACAGGATCGGCAGGAAAATATGGGAGAGCACGTCAGGAATATCGGTCACATGCCGAACAAGCGGCTGCTCGAAAGAGTCCAAGAACTCACTTCTGAGAGCCTCGGTGTGGGCGTAGCGACACAGCTCCACGTGGATTGTGAAATCACCGTTTGGCGTTGGTCCGTCGCCATTGATGTCCGAAGGAGAGCTTCCAAGTCAGCGCGACGAGCATCAATCCACTCGCGGGGGGCATCGCAATGTTCGCCCGCACGGGCACACGTGGGGCACGGAATCCCATGGAGCACGCCCGAACAGAATTGCCAATCGCTGCTCACGGGCCCCCAGAGCCCAAGCAACACGCCGTCAGAACTTGAGCCGCCGAGCCTGCAACTCAATGTGGCAGGGAGCAAGCTGGATGTAGCGCCAGACCTCCCTAGCAAATAATGCAACATACTTGGTCGCGCCGTCCTCTTGCCCAACGCGCTCGAAGGCCGCGCCGCGCATAATTGTACGAACTCTTGCTTGCAAGAGCACGTCCAAGCGTCCATGTTCGGTTTTGTTGAGGATAGAACACTCAAGGCTGGACAGCAGTGGGGCATGCACCATGCGCAAAAATACAAGACGGATGTTTTATTTCTTCTGGCAGTGGTACCAAAACTTTCCCACGATGGTCCAACCAAGTTCAGCGGCGCGGATCTTGCGAGTGATATCAGGCCCAGCACGGCCAGCACGAGGCAGGTGAAAGCGGAAAGGCCTGGCGTGAGGAACAACGCGTCCGGCAACAGGGTCCTGCTGGTATACCCGTCGTTCGTAAATATATGCAAACCTCCCGCAAACATGTATGGTATGTTCCTGTTTGCCGTGATTGTGACGGATGCGTATCTGCCCCAATGCGCTGTCCAAACGCGTGCTGCAATTGAGAAGTTTCTCGCCCGCGCTGCTGACATGCGTAAGCAAATGAGTTTTCGTTTTATCGCCTGCATGTGTGGTTACAGACACATTAACATATCCATCTTCAGCGAGACAACGGAAAACAGGGTGCTCATCGCGGGCCGCTCGCGGGCGGGCGCGCGCCAGTCGTCCACGACCAAGTGATCCATCTCCAAGAACAGCAGGCCAGCAAGCACATCACCTTGAAACGCTCCACTGCCGAATCGCATTGCCACCTCCTGATAGGCTGCGCGTGCTGTCGTGGCTGAGTTGCGATGCCGCTGGCGGAGAAGAAATCGGCCCTCTCCTCTCGCAATGAGATCAATCGCGGAATCCAGGACAGAAAAAGACGGGTTGGGGAACGCGTCAATGGCGTCGTGGAAACCAACAGCATATGACTGTTTGGCTTGACGGAATCTATTGGTGAGCGCCTGACGTCGCAGAACGGCTGCTTCGCGGCTCCGGGATTTGAGGTAGCCGTGCGCAGAAGGACGAACAGCGGTGGCGTTCGTTCGTCTCCACAGGTGCCCATAATACAGCTCGCCCAGAGGACCCAAAACGTGGACCAATATGAGCCCTTTGATGCCCATCTTGCCGCTTGGTTTGGGTAGTTGGTACGCTCTACAAAGATGCCGAGATACAGGTGTGTACCGGTAGAAACGTATACTGTAGAACAACAACTAGAAGTATGTGCTCGAACTGCGGGGTCGCAACATCAGGGTCGTTCTCGTCCAGATCTGGGACCGTATTCGGGCGTAGCGACGTGCGGAACAACTCGGCGGGCACGGCGCCAGGAGGAAAAGCCTTGCGCAGCTTGGCTCGGGAGCGGCCAAGAGGGGGTGTCCAAGAGGGGGGGGTGCAAATCATGACCGGCGGCACGTGCGAGGCCCAGCGGGGGGGCCAGGGACGTGATGAAATAAGAAGAGGCGCCATGAAATCTGGGGAAACATCACGGCCCACGCCATGAGATCCACCCCCCCATAGCCATTTATGTTGCATCCTCGGGGGGACCTTGTCTGTCACGTCGCGGCCCTGTCCGCGTCGAATGCGTGTCGAATCCATGTCGGACGCGTCGGTTCCGTGTCGAATCCGTGTCGAATCCGCGTCGAATCCATGCCAAAT